ACTTGAAAACTACTTGAAGAGACAAACGCTCAGACTATTGAAGAAGAGAGCCGAGTCCAACAGAGCAATGTTGACGACGAGGCGAAAAGTCACTGTTAAGGGCATAGCCTAGAAAAGACCAACATCCGAAGCTCGACAGAAAAATCAGAAGAAAGGAAGAGATGGTCCCAAGATTCTGAAACAAATGACCATAGACAATACTTTAAAGACTGAATCTATCCCAAGGAAACAAGTCTTTGCCACGTGAGCCATCTATCAAGGTGACTTACCCACTTATGGAAAGTTACATTTGGGATAACCCCTTTGAACCAAACATAATATGTCCATATGTCCAATCCTTTGCTTCCCGAGGTCTTAGTGCTTCCGAAGTCTTAGCCGAGGAAATCACATGACACCTTTTATCATATGCACACCGTGAGGACAAATCATCAACCAATATGAAAAAATAGAATAACAAAAAATGACAATAATAAAGAACAACAAAACAAACGTTGCAAAACAAAACAAAATATTTAAAAAAATCAAAATATAAATAAAAAATATAACACAAAATAAATAAATAAAATATACGCGCGGGTCAACAAATAGTATTTTATATAAAACTCACGTCAACTGCGTATCGATTATCAAGATTTGACGAGCTGTCTTTACATCTTAAACGAAGCTTACCCATTGAGATTCGTGTAGGATCCTGAAAAACGTGGGAGAACTAACACAGAAAGAAGATATATAAAACCTTGTTGAGATCAACCATCATTGTTTCTTTTCCAATGGCGTTGAAACAAACCTAACCGCCGGTTTTATTTTCCCGGTTACCCCTTGTGCAAGTTATCTTTAATCTTTGTTTTTGTCATCGTCATCGTCCTCGTCCAAGCCATCAATGCCGATAGTTCAGTCTCTCCATCATCCTACACCAGGCCAATCAAGAAGCTCAACAAACCGGTGGTTCTCTTAATTTCCACTGACTTCCGGTTTGGTTACCAATTCAAGACTGATACACCAAACATTGATTTGCTCATTTCGAGAGGAACCTAAGCTCAGACTGGTTTAATCCCGGTTTTTCCAATCATGACGTTCCCTTATTAGGGATAACAATATCCCACATTTTTTTTAAGGAAAACGGGAGAAATCTCCCAACTTATTAAGAATAAAAAGAAAAATTACAACCGGACCCGTCTTGGACGCGGAGGACCAAAGACATCTTCTCTTAGAATGGAAGCAACCTCAACCGGAATAGAATCCAACGCAAGAAAACCCAACGGAATCAAAAAGGCATAGTTAGCTAAACCATCAGCAAGACGATTAGCTTCTCTATACACATGAGACACAAGGACTATCCACTCCTTCGAAATTAAGCCATGGCACAACCGTACCAGGAAGGACACGGACTCTCCACTCATTGCCAATTGGTTTTAAGTTAGAAGCCCACAATCTAATATCCCTAACCACTACTCAATAGCCACCGGACTCTACCCGGCTTACCACAGTATAATCATGAACAAATTCACTGATCTGATAACCGGAGAATTCTATAACAAAAACCTAGACCCTAAATGGTGGTTAGGTGAGCCATTATGGGTAACTATAGTAAACCAAGGGCTCAAGGCTGCTACTGTGTATTGGCCAGGCTCTGACGTTCCTAAAGGCTCTTGGACTTGCCCTAAAGGATTTTGTAAAACACCTTACAATGCTTCAGTCCCTCTTGAAGAAAGAGTTGATACGGTCTTGACCTATTTTGATCTTCCCGAGAGCAAAATCCCCGATTTCATGACTCTATATCTCGAAGAACCGGATATTCAAGGCCATAAATATGGCCCTGATGATCCTCGGATCACACAAGCGGTCGCAAAGGTTGATAAAATGATCGGTAGAGTCATCAAGGGATTGAAGAAAAGGAAGGTGTTTACTGATGTTCATGTGATATTACTTGGTGACCACGGAATGGTTACTAATTGTGACAAGAGGGTGATATACATTGATGATTTAGCGGATTGGATCAATGTACCTGCGGATTTGATCCAGTCTTATTGCCCGGTCTTAGCAATGAATCCGCGATGGGGCAAAGATGTCGTGAATCCAAACTAGAAGAACAAGGAACTTGTGGCGAAGATGAATGAAGCTTTGAGCTCAGGGAAAGTAGAAAACGGAGAGTTTTTACAGGTTTACTTGAAGGAGAAGTTACCGAAAAGGCTTCACTATTCGGAGAGTTCTAGGATTCCACCGATCATAGGAATGGTCGGAGAAGGTCTAATGGTGAAACAAAACATAACAAACGTTCAAGAATGTTTCGGAAACCATGGATATGACAACATGTTTTTCTCAGTGAGATCTATCTTTATTGGACATGGTCCATGGTTTAGGAAGGGAAAGAAAGTGCCGTCGTTAGAGAAAGTGCCGTCGTTAGAGAATTTATTGGACATGGTCCATGGTTCGTCTTTGTTCCCTCGGAGCATTCTCCTTCCTTATGAAGTAACAAGGGAATTAGAATGAAGAAGAATGTATCCCTTAGAAGTTAGCTCATGAGAGACTCAGTGTCATAAGCTAATTAATGAATAACAATCATTCTATGTTCTATGTTTGTCTTGTCATGTGTTTTTTTTGGAAATAATTGAAGGAGGAAACAGATCAAAAATAGATAGCATAATTGCCAAATTTTATAATAATATTATTACTAGTTAAATATTTTACTTATAACAAAGTTAAAATAATTAAATTTAGGTGTGTAAAAATAAAATTTGTTGTATTTTTTATCATTCGAACATTTATACCGTACCATATATTAATTTTTGGGGAATTCTCTTAAATACCACTAAATTAGTTATTTTCCAAAAATACCATTACGAATTTTATTTTCCAAAAATACTACTAAAATAAAAAAAAATTACAAAAAACCACAATACGAAATTTTATTTTTTAATATTCAAAACTAATTTTTAAATCCTAAATACTAAATCATACCCCTAAAAAATATATCCTAATTGTAAATTGTCAAGCCAAACATTTTTTTGTTTAAAAAATTACATCTTCAAAATTCAATTTTTTAAGTTATGGTATTTTTGGAAAATAAAATTTTGTGGCATTTTTGGAAAAAATAAAATAAAAAAGTTATGGTATTTTGGAACAAAAAAAACTTAACTTGTGGTATCTAAAGGTATCCATTCAACATTTATTTTGTACCGCTAGGTTCCAGAATGATCCAAAACCAAATATGCTCAAGTATTTTTTCAGGATCGAACCTTGAACTTTGAGATGGACTTGAACAGAACTGGTGTGTCTTCCCTCAGCAAATCCAACACAAAAACATTTAAACTTTGTTTTCGAACTGATTAATTTAAACTTTGTTTTCCACTCTACTTTTTCACTGTATTCATTTGATTCACTCTAGTCTTTGTAATTTACTGTTGTCGTAGATCTGAAGCCAATTGAAGCATGTTGCACCACGATTAAATAAACATAACTAAAACCACGATTTAACTGGTTTAAGCATCCAAAATAGTTTTATTTCCATGCAGATGGTGTTAAGAATCCAAATAGCTTTATTTCTTTATCTTCCTTAGCTATTGGTTATGATTACCATTTTTTATACAGAAAGTTACATGTTAGGACTTCTAATTTTCTCGATAGAATGTGTAAGAATTTAGATAATTAATCTATTAAAAACATATATGTACCCATATTCGAAAACTACATGAACCTTTAAAAATTATGTATTTTCAAGAAATTAAACTATATGGAAAACATTATACAAAACCATATCTAACTATTATTTTCGTAAGTGCGAGTCGAGAAGAAAAAACAAATAAATCAAAGTAATAAAAAAACATATTAGAGCCTATAGCCTTTTTTTAACTATCTTACCACATGAACATTTTAGTAAAATAGTTTAACAAGACTTGCATATAATTTTAGACAGTTCTATATCATTTGGATGAGTAATATCATTCAAAAGTCACGACAACCATCAAGAAATAGTGACCTTTTAAAATCATTAAAGTCACTTAATGGTTATAAATAGCAACAAATAAAAAAATAAATAACATCTTCTAAACTCTTAAGAAAAATAAGCTATCAGTCTGAAATCCAAACAAGATTGGTAACCAACAAAATAAGCTAACAATGTTTATATTTCCTCCAGTCAAGGTTTTCCAAATTTAGATGTTCAAAAAATTTCTCCTAACCATTAAAAAAAAAATCGAAATTTCATTAGTCACAATAATAGAGTTATCAGAACTTAAGTACATATTAACACATATGATCTATAATTTAAGTAACAATATTATTTGCAAAGTTGTATTTTAAATTTTTTTAAAGTAACCTTTAAAAAAGAAATAGGAAACTTATACGTACGTACATAGAGAGCTTTGGTGAAATGGTAGCTCACCGATCTCCAAATGGATGATCCATTATCTATCTTGTTTTTATTTAATTTAGTGAACACTACATATAAATATATTAATTAAAAAGGTTTAGACAATTAAAAGATAATTCTAAACAAATTAAACTGTAAACTATAGCACGTAAGAAACTAAATCAACACAAAAACGTAACGAATTTGGGAATATGTTTTGGTTTTGGATATATATAAAAACATAGTAAAGCTTCGCCTAACCAAACTCATTAAGTGATGTTCTTTGACTAACATGTTTTCTAAAATACACAAAAAGTCTTCAAAACTATTGGACTGATGTTATCTTTCTTACTATAAACATAACATTGAAAAAATCATTACCTAGACTAATTTGTATTGTTATTCGTTTAACTTGAAAGATCCGTTTGACCAATCAAGAAATGTAGTTACATATTTGTTGGGACAATGTGAAATCATTAGTCAAATTAGGACCAAGAGATTTAGCTTAGCTTACATGTTTTGTAGCTTTCCTAAAACATAATTTTTGTAAATCCGAAATTAACTAACTTGAGAAAGACGTCTCTAGATCTCTACTTAGTTAAATATACATCTCTCTTCTTTGATTAACTTCAGTCAGAAACAGTTAATCCTCTCAAAATGTTACACTTCTTATCTTATTTCTTCCTAATCTCTCTTTTCCTCTACAACAATTGCATTGCGCATCACTACACATTCATTGTAAGTTTAAATCAATTAATCGATAATTACTTGCTAGTAAACTAATCTGATTTGATGAAAACTAACTGAAGTTTTAATTTATTGGCAGGTTAAGGAAGCTCCATATACAAAACTGTGTAGCACAAAGAAGATTTTAACCGTTAATGGTCTGTTTCCGGGACCGGTTTTAAAAGCTTACAAAGGAGACACCATCTATGTTACCGTTCGTAACCAAGCTAGCGAAAATATTACAATGCATTGGTAAAACCCCTTCTCTTAAGTCTATACTAATTATAAGTATATAACTAACTGATCGAAATGGTGTTTAAATACATATATAGGCATGGTGTAGAGCAGCCGAGAAACCCGTGGTCAGATGGTCCTGAATACATAACACAATGCCCGATTCGACCCGGGTCAGAATTTACCTACAAAGTCATATTTTCCATTGAAGACACGACAGTTTGGTGGCACGCGCATAGCTCTTGGACACGTGCCACCGTACACGGTCTTATTTTCATATATCCCTGGCTCCCGGAATCTCTCCCTTTTCTAAAGGCGGACCATGAAGTCCCCTTAATTTTGGGTAAATTAATGGACAACTTATGTATAAATTCACATTTTTATAAACAAAATTGTATTTTTTTCTTATATATAATTTCATAAAACTGGTCAGGAGAGTGGTGGAAGCAGGATGTGAGAGAGGTGGTGGAGGAGTTCATAAGGACCGGAGGTGCTCCTAATGTGTCTGATGCTTTGACCATCAATGGACATCCTGGTTTCTTGTATCCTTGCTCTAAATCAGGTTTCTTCTTATTATTTTCATTTTTTCTTATCTTTTCTACTTCAACAACACTTTCTTAATCTGCAAATATATTAAAATTTTTGATCAAATGAGAAATATGTTTTGTAAACTTTGTTTTATAATTATTTTCCTTACCCGTTATGAGTTTTGTTTTAAACATATTACAATAATTATGTTATTTTACATGAACAGATACATTCCATCTCTTGGTAGAAGAGGGCAAAACCTATCGCATTAGGATGGTAAACGCCGCGGTGAACCTTATTCTCTTTTTCGCAATCGCAAATCACAACCTCACCGTGGTTGGGGCTGATGGACACTACACAAAGCCTTTGAACGCTACTTATATAACCATATCCCCTGGTGAAACACTAGACTTGTTACTCAAAGCCGACCAAAACCCGAAAAATACTTATTACATGGCGGCCAGAGCTTACCAAACGGGAAATATCGAATTCAACAACTCAACCACTATTGGAGTCTTGCGTTACATCTCTTCATCCAAAGCCGAAACGTTAATGTTTTCAGGAATTTACCCAAACCTTCCTTTTTACAATGACACATCCGCAGCTTTCGGCTTCTTTACCAAGATCAAAAGCCTATACTCAGGACAAGCTCCACCTCTTGTCTCGCGTAGGATAGTCACGACGATATCAATAAATCTTCTCAGGTGTCCCCAAAACTCATGTGCAGGTCCAAATGGGTCAAGATTAGCAGCCAGTATGAACAACATATCATTTGTCACACCTAGTCACGTGGACATACTAAAAGCCTATTACCTTCACATTAAAGGCGTCTACGGGACGCGATTTCCGGACATTCCACCGTATATTTTCAATTTCACCGCGGAAAACCAACCGCTATTTTTACAAACCCCGAGGCTCGCGACCGAGGTAAAGGTTCTTGAGTTTGGGGAAGTGGTTGAGCTTGTTATTCAAGGGACTAGTTTAGTTGGTGGTGGACTTGATCATCCTATGCATCTCCATGGTTTTAGCTTCCATGTTGTTGGAGTAGGGTTTGGGAATTATAACACAAGTGATGAAGATCCATCCTCAACGTATAATCTCGACGACCCACCGTATAAAAATACAATGACCGTGCCTAGGAATGGTTGGATCGCTATTAGATTCGCAGCTATTAATCCCGGTACGCACTTTACATTTTAATTTATAATCTTACAAACATAAATCAATAACATAAAGGGACAAGAGTACTTGATAACACAGTTGCTTAGTCTCAACTTTGACTAGGTTTGAATCTCTTGTGGTTATTGCTTATATTGTAGTGTTGTTACTTGTTACCAACCACGTACGCTAGAAGATGTTCTTTTAAAAGAGCCAAAAAGACATAACTTAACAAAGATTTTTAATGTTGCAACTGTGTTTTGTAGGGGTTTGGTTCATGCACTGTCACTTCGATAGACATCAAACTTGGGGTATGAATGTTGTGTTCATTGTTAAGAATGGAATATGGCCAAATCAGCAGCTTCTGCCTCCACCAGATGATCTGCCGCCTTGTCACTAATAATTTTAATGTTACCAATATGCAAATCATTTGTGTTATATTGTATTGTATTTGTATTGATGTAATAAAACTAGATTTACTAAAACAGAACCCTGATTTGTTTTTCTGAAAATTATTATTTACGGTACTGGTAATAACAAGGAAGAAAAATGTATAATCTTGAAGAAATTTTCAGTTTCTAGAATTATGATATCTATAGAAAAATGTACAAAACCAATAATCATATGAAAATGTTATCAGTTTTGAGGTTAGGGTCAATTTACAAAACCACCCTTGTCGTTTCGTTTGATAAGAAAATAAAGAAAGAACCCTTAAGGGATTTGGTTTTGGCTACAATATTGAACACCAATCACATGGCATGCATGCAAGAGTCACTCATAAATCATTAGTCAAGACTACCTAAAAACCATATTTACATGAATTGTATATACATTCAGATATTCACATTAGACGAGTCATTGTTTAATAATTAACAAGAGAATATAAACGTATATACACCTACTTGTTTATTATTTTTTTGTTTGTGTAAGACGTCAAATATTATAGGGTTGGCGTACTACTCCTACAATATACATAAGGTCCTTATATAATAATAATAATAGCGGAAACTATATATTCTTTAACAAAGAAAAGCAGAAATTTTTTTTTTGAATATTTAACTTTCATATTGTTTCTCGATTATAACATAACAGGAATAATATATTTCCAAATTATTGAGGCCTCTTCGATTAACAAATTAAAACCATATCTTCGACCTTATCCTTTCTCATATTTAAAGAAATTGCAAATGTAAAGGCTGATAATTTAGCTTGTAAAGTACGAGTCCGTCCGTAGTTTGTTAAGTTTGTAAACAATTGTCTTACAGATTGATTCACTTGAATTAATTTCATAGTTATTTTGTTGACAAAAAAAGAAGAAGCATATATAAGTACAAGAAAACAGTATACTTCAAAGAGATGAAATTTTTGGTAATATATCCTTTGGAAAATCCCTATTTTAACGGATTTAGAACGGAAAAAGTCGTCGAGAAATTGCTAATTGAAATTTAAAAATTTCTTAAAGATTTTCAAATATGACATATCGGAAACGGGTTTTTTTCATACCTGCAAAACTATACTGTGTTAAATTTATACATTGAACTATCGTATGTGTTATAAATAAATTTACTTTTAAATAATTTGAAATTCAAATCTAAAGTTAAGTTTTTGTGCTTAAACATACAAAAACGTGATAAATGATTAATTAATGCTGATGTGGAATCCACTTGTGCAGAAGTCACGCTGATGTGGAATCTACGTGTACATATTATTCAAAAGTAAATGTATATGTATTCTTGGTTCAAGCCAAGACATCCTACCAAAATCACATGTATTCTTGGTCCGAGCCTGCGCAATCTTTCGGAGATATGACATATTTGGAAATCTTCGAGAAATTTCAGACCCTTGAAAGTTCCTTGGAGATATGTCTGAACGATCTTCCAATGAATGATTTCAAAATGACTTTCAAGTGGGCTTCATCTTTCCAAGAGAAGCTAAAGATGGACTATAAGAACATCTTTATCGGCATATGTCCATCGGTCTTATATCCTTCAAAAAAACTAGGAAATAATAACACAGTGGCGTGTCAGGATGCATTCGGATCTTGCCCAAGACTCAAGTCTTACGGCCACGTGGCGTATCAGGAGTGGAAGTCATTTTTCTTCTCTCTATCTCTCTATCTTTCTCTCTTCTCTCTCTCTTATTGTAATAATATAAATTCATTAAGATATATCCCTACAAATGTACCGATAAAGATGCTCTAAGGGAAGTTGCTTTGTCTCGGGAGTCCCTGGTTCGTTTTACTCGAGGCTTTTCCCGAACAAATCTCTTCATTTTGTTCATTCAGCTTGTAGTATCTATTGGCTTTCTAAAGTCTCTGAAGGGATTGAGGATAACAACAAGAACATATATATAAGAAATCCTTGCCCGTTAAATGTGTCAAAGGCTTACTTGGATCAGTTTCAAAAAGACTTTTCGTTATTCTTAAAAATGCGGTCTGAAGAAGTAATGCCTAAGGGACGCATGGTGCTCACATTCAAAGGCAGAAATGCTTCTGATCCTTGACTTAGTCTCTGAGGTAATCATTCAAACTAGTTCTTGCTGTTTTCTAGATCCTAACAAAGTTTATACTTCATTATTGTTAAGTAAAGAATAGTTATATATATAAATTAAAATGTCACATTTTGTTATGGCAAGGGGTTGTAAAAGAATCAGAGGTGGATTCATTCAACTTACCGTTCTATGATGCGGGTAAAAACGAGGTAAGGGAAGTTATTCAAAACGAAGGATCATTCGAGATTAACGAATTCGAGACACATGAACATCTAGTTCCATACAAAGATAGTGAGGAAGACGACGATGAATCATGTCGACTAAAATTTGGGGAAATGATGGCAAACAGGAAAAGATCAATCACTGAACTGATGTTGGTTGCTCATTTTGGAAACGAAATTATTGACTGCTTGTTTAAGAAGTACGCACATAATGCAGCAAAATATTACATTGTCTCAAAGACAATGCAATAAAACAACAATCAACTTTGTCGTGTCCTTAACTAGAAAATGAAAGGTTTGGCTGTTTCAATTTGCTGTTGGTAAAATTGTATAAAATGACATTTCGAAAGTTCATATTTCTTTTGTCCCACATTTGAAAGTTTATGGTTTTTTCGACATTTTTATTCCATTGAAGTGTATGTGTCTGTCTGCTTAGATGGATTTGTCTTATTTACAGAAATTGTATATTAATCCTTTTCTGTAAGATAATAGTTCTTTACTCTTTTATAGATTAAAGAACAATTGGCTACTCAACATTCATCGAACTTAAAAATTGGCTACACTTATTCACTACCAGAAAAACAGAGGAGGAAGCAAGAACTAGCTGAGATGACAAATACAAAGTTTTGGAAATATGTGCTCATCGATCCATACTAGTTTCATAGACAACACTAAGGTTTCATCACATACTATTTTCAAAAGCTAAGGATGTAGTAATGTTTCTATTTCTCACAGTCGGACAAGTTAGTAATATATTCGGGCAGGGGATATCTCCATGTCTTGTACCATAGCATTATCAACATCAACTTGAGAGATCTCTGCGTGGTGAATTTTGTTGTTGTAGGTGGAGTGATGCATTTGTGTTATGTGATCCTGTTGAAGTGCTCTAGTCTTGTGGATTTTACCCCAGTCTCTTCGGCTCCAAAGGTAAAGAGGTGGCGGTATATTGTTCCACTGCTCTATCGTTTTATTATTCACATCTACCGACCCGGGCAAGTAGAATGACTGAAGGGGAAAAAGAACGAGTGTGACTGAAAGCTATTCATCAAATAAATGAGAGCTGGAGTCATTATAGGCGTACTTACCATGCCAGAAAGTAATGTTCTGTCCTCCCAAATCAAGTCATAATCAGCAATCAAATCGACCCTGAATGTAGATGAACCCGAAGTTATGAAATGTTTGTTATTGATCGAGACTGTGTATTTGCTATATATACATTACATACCTTTTTGTTTCACTTGGTACGATGAGGATTAAAATCTTCGGTTTAAACTCGAGGGCCTTCCTGATGAAAGTGTTAGCAAGACTGGCTTTGTGACCGAAAGGCGGGTTTAATCCAATAATCTGTTTTTATTCAAGACACATAAAACTCAGTCAATGAATTCAACAAAATGCATCTCAACTTTAGGATTACATTTTCTTTCTTACCAATTGAGAGCCATCAGGTAACTCTTCTGGATTCACACTCAGCCAATCTCTCTTCTCAAAGTTGAAGTTGTTCTGCCATGGGAACATTCTGTTATTCATTCTCCTTCGCATTTATAAACTTTTTCTTTGTATATTCATGAAAAAAACTTCAAACAGAAGAGTAAAAAGAGTAGTAGTTGTACCTTAGGTGGAATGAGATCAAAGTTTTTAAAGAAGCATGTTTTTCCCGTTTTCATAAGCTTTTCTTTCATCAAACAACTGAAGTCATTAGAGCCACAGCCAAAGTCGACTACCTGAAATCACCAAGAGTTTACCCAGAATGTTATGTTTAATATAGTTTACAGCATAGCAGAGGTACTGGTTAAGGAATTATTTAGCACATTTACCGTATCGCCATTTTCAACATACCAGTGAAGCCTCTCTACTATCTGCATTATTAATTCCTATTAAATCAACTTCTCTTAATCATCACTAAACCAGTAGACTCTGATGGAACGAGGTAAACATGAGTTAAGTAAACAATTGATATATATAAGTCACCTCTTTAAGCTTCTCTTGGTTTGTGAAGTGACGACCAAACGATGTATAGCGCATACCATGGAGAAAAGGCGAAAGATATATTTCAAGCTTCCTCTGCAGTTCATCAAACACATGAATGTTTTAGACTGTGTAACCTTTTCCCTTAATGAAATTCTTTCACGTGTACGTATCTCAAAGAATGGCATACAGTCATCCAAGTATACTTTAGGTGATGAAAGGATTACGATAACGAAATATAAAGTTATAACCTTATGCTTCATGAGTTCGAGTAGGATATCTGGATCAAATATAACTTTTGCTTCTCTGTCACGCCCTTCTTCAAACATCTTTAAGGCAGCTCGAGCGGCCTGCAGAACAGTTGTTAAGATTCAGAGAGACAATGCTACTAGTCAAATTACATATCTATATTTCATAAAGTAACCAGTTCCATACATTGACATGAGTCTGAACCAATCCTGTTGTGATTGTCTTACTGATATCATTTCCGGAATGGTAGGATTTTATATGGGTTTGCCGGCGAGACTTAACAAACTCATCAAAGTTAAACGAGGATTCCACTTCGTCGATTATACCCATCACCCTGTCTTCCCCGAAAAATAAAATGATTAGGTGAAACTTGAAACTACTAATAATGTAACAGTTTCTTGTATAGTCGCCAAAAAGAACATCACCTCTCTTCCACTTCCTGAAACCTATTATCTTTCTTTGGTTTCTTATAAGTGTCACCAGGACAACTAGATAGACCATCATGATGCTCCAGATCTGTCTCCTTACTGGGAACATCCTCTTTGAACTGTGCTAGCCCGTGACTTCGTGTTCTTCTTTGGCCAGATATATCAGGAAATATTAAGTGGTCTCTAGCTGGAGTAAGAATAGGACCTTCTATCTCATGCGCCCTGTTCAAGAGGTTATGAAAAGCCATGAATTATAAAGACCATAACAGAAACCTCTACTTTAAATACACTCTAAACTGATTAGAACATTCATAAACTTACAAACAATATATAAGAATGCGGTTGTACGGAAGCAGTCTTTCCCAAGCTCTTTGCAATGTGTCAGCCTCAGAGTTGAGTTCAGAGGTAATTTCCCTGAATACAAAAAGAAGAAACAAAGATCTGAAGCTAATACATATATCTATTAGGAGCTTAGAACAAGTGTAAACGAAAATCAGTTTACCTAGGTAAACATTTTCTGTGATAAGCTGTTGGGCAACGTCTGCATACAGCAAAATGCAACGCATACTGATTCTTGTCTTCACTTGTGTTACAGACTTTACATATGTGTAAAGGACAGGCAAAGCAGTCTCTAGCAGCAATCTTGGCTTGAAGTTCTTCTGATTTGATTTGATCATCAGCACAGAGAAGTCTTGCAACACAATTAGGATGGTAGAAATGACCACAGTTTGATGCAGAGCAAGGGAAGACCTTCAAAGCAGTAAACAGTTGGATGGATTTCAACTACTCTATACAGCTAATTTCACCAAAATGACCTGTGATATTAAACAAGTATATAATACCTGTTGAGAGGAGTTTTCATCAGAGGATCCTAATTCGCCACAAGCATAGCACTGGTGCTGTTTATAGAGACAATTGTTACACAAATAGGTCCCAAGTGCCTACATATATAGCAAACCAACTTCAGCATGGGAGCCTCACCATAATAGCATATCAAACAGAAACTCCAAAGCCAATAAGCCGTACATGAATTTGAGTCTTGTCAGTGAATCCTAGCGATTCACAGTGTGTCTCAATTCCGTCAGCTATGGTTGGATGGAAAGATCTCAAGCAACTTCCTTCACAACTGAGATCAAAACAGGGAGATTAAATGAAATTGTTGCAGTTTGTAAGTTGCTATAGAAATAAAACCAACTCTTTAAAACTTATGAAGCTTGGCATACCACAGAACATAGCCACCATTGTCACAAATTGAACAGACTGGATCAAACTGCAGGTTTGTCTCAGAATCATCATCGCTGCTGAATTCCTCATCTATCATATTATCAACAATGACGTTCTGTTCCATTGGTGTCTGCGCATCTTGTTGATGGTGCGTTGGAAGTTCCTAATAAGCATTAACTTAGTACCAGACGAGCAAGAAAGGCGGCAGAGAACAAGGAAACCACTTCTATCTCGCTCTTACCACTTCTATAGGTATTGTTTGTAAAGTCTTCTCCAGAAAAGTAAGCAAACACTGCAGAATAATTGTCAAGGTGAAACAGTAAATATCTGAAAGAAATATATAAATGTGACTTGCTTTTCTGATTAAATTTGGTTTATTCTAAACTGATCTGTATTCTGAATTCTTAACTAGCTATTCAGTAAAGGTAGACTGTCCGATCAGGAACCAACAAAGTCAAAACCGAAATAAAAGTATCTGTCTGCCCTAGGACCAAAGACAAAACAAACATTTTGATGTGGGTTCAGATCCAGAAATACTACAACAAGACTTGAAGCGAAGGAATCAGAATCAGTCATATGTTTCAGCTCTTTAGATCAAGCTCTGAGTCATATGTTTCAGCTCTTTAGATCAAGCTCTCATTACAATCAGACTCAGTCATAATGTTTCAGCTCTTAAATCCTTTCCAACGAAGATAAGAAAGACCAAAGAGAAAACATACCTTCGATTTTGTTAAATCTTCATCCCTTTTTATAGCTTCAGAAAGTAAAGAAACATGATCTGCTAAGTCATCCTCTGAAGGCTGGATCCTGAGTGAAGAGCACAAACATGATTTTCAAAGACAACATTTAAAGAAAACAAATGAAGATAAACTGAGAGAAAAAAAAAAAAAACATCTAAGCATACCCATCCAGTTTCTGTAAGCTATTCCACACATCATTCCTCGACGCATCCGGATTCCTTTTGACAAAGTGAAGAAATTGAAGACTAACCAGAGTAGTTCTAACTAAACTCTCATAACTCTTTCTCGGACTCTGTAAAGTAATCCAGTGCATCCCATGTAAAAGCACCTCAATCTTGGGATTTTCATCAACAGAAAGATCAAAGTTCCACCCTTGTACAAGCTTACAAAACGACTGATCTCCACAATCAGTATTCCCACGCAAAAACACAGGCGATCCCGAGATATCAGTCGAATCCACACTATGCCATTTGAGCGGAACAACACAAAACTTTACAGGTACCTCACTCTCATCAACGAAATAGTACTCATCAACTGAATCAGGTAAAATCTCTCCTTCTTCCTCTGACCAGTCCATTAGAGTTAAGCTGAAGAAAAAAAAAATCAAGTTTCAACAGATTCAGCTTCGTATCACTAACCAAAACCAATCCACATAACACAAAAACACCAAACGAAGAAACCATTACAACGGATTTACGAAATTTAACCCAAATCTCCATGAAATTTTCCTGCATTTTCGAGAAATCACCTAAAAGAAGCAACGAAGACACTTTAAAAAACAAGGACGATGACGAACACAGCAGTATCTAAAACCTAGCTAAGCTACTTCGTGAGGAAACGAACTCATCGAAGAAGACGAAACCATAGAAATCTATAAACTTCATCATCGGTTTATTTCCAACATTTGTATGATTTTATCAACAGATGAACAAATTACAGAGCAGAGAAACGCACCGTCGTGATCGTGGTTGAGCAGAACAGCCGTCGTGATCGCCGATTAAAAACCCTAGAACCCTTCTGGTCTACAAATCGGAGAACAAGAAGAAGTGAGAGAGAGAGAAGAGAGAAGAGAGAAGAGAGAAGAGAGAAGGGAGAAGAAAAGCGTGGGAGTGACTGATGTTGCGAAATCGTACGGATTTATTTTATACAGTTTTGGCAAAAAATAAAATAATAATAAAACTTTGTTTTAAAGGGAAAACGACAAAAGAACTCCATCACATTTAAACTTCATTTTCGAATTCGTCATATAATTTTATTTTAAATAGCAAACCCAATTTTAAAAACTTTTTTTTTGTCGACTGAATAATTCATTAATAGCTTTATAGTTTATACAAGAAAATTTTATCAATCTTACCAAAAAAAAAAAGAATTTTATCAATAGTATTAAAGTTTCACCTTTATGTTTTTAGAAATGCCACGATTCGGGACCTTACCTCATCTACCATTTTGGATGTTAAATATACAATACTAACCTTGTGAAAAAGATGCGGGTGAACTAACAAAAGCAAAAGAAAAATAAAATTAAAAGGTACGGACACTTTGTTCGGCTGATTGGAAAACATAGTACAAAAGCATTAATGGTGGACAAACAAAATAAGTAAGTAACTATGTAAACATCACCAGTTAGAAAGTAAAAAACAAAATACAAAAAAGTGTACGAACAAGGTAGAGAGAAAGAGAAAGACAAAGCGAAGTTGTTAGAAGGATAGATAGAGATGTTCTAGAAAAATTGTGATTTACTGCGTTAAAGAATCCGTGGACAAAGGATTGAAGACGGTGGACGTGAAATTATAAAGGTAAATAAAGATACATTCATTCATGTCGGCATTTATTCGAAACAAATCTTTGTGATTCATTACAAGTTATGTAACAGCAGAAATTTATTGAAGTGTGGCCATGACTGGTCGTGTGAAGATCCGGTTTGGTTGCAATAAATGATGTTTTTTTTTTCATCATACGTTCTTGTGGACCAATCAGGGATCGACGAGATAATCTTAGTGTTAGGTGGAGTTTTAGAAACTCGTGAATCCGGGAGGTGGGAATTTTCTGGCTATCCAAAAGAGTTTGGAAGATGTGTCGCATACAATGATGGCATGACGTACGAGGAGCTTATGCATGCAGTGGTCCGTGTTTACCGGGTGGACAACAAATATAAACGTCTACGCCTAAGTTTTTGGTATGCTGGAGAGACGGAAGTGTTCACACAAGGTCAAATACTGCCCATCTATATTGGTTGCGATGTAGCATTTGGCCAGTTTAAAAGGAAACAGAGGGATAACAACCAGTTAAACATTTTTTGTACGTTTGACACGTCAAAGGGAGATGTGGCCGCCAGAAGTCCTGATAGCGGAAAAGAAGTTCATAGCAGTGTAGATGATGAGGTACTTATTGCACAAGTTGAAGAGCTCAAAGCTGCTCAGAAAGTGAAACGTTCGGATAATGATGTTTTGAAAAGGAAAAGTACTCAAACCATCTTACGGATTCGGTCGCGAAAAAGGCAAAGACAATGGACAGCAGAACTATAGGGACGAGTTCAATGGACGAGATTGTTACGGTGGACCTAAACGAAGATATGGTAGACGTTGATGGAAGAACAAACGAGGCGCTCGTTGGTCACAAAGGCGATAGGAATGACGTTAGAGATGGACATGAAAATAGCGGTTGTGAGGATGAGGTTCAGTATGACGATGAGGATGACTACGATTATGACGGGATGAGTGAGTTGATCAACAAAGAATATCAAAAAGATTGGGATCCATTTAATGTTATTAGATCAGTAGGGTTAGATGAAGAAGAAACATCGAATGGGTTGGGAATCTCTCGTCCATCAAAAATCTCAGACATTGTTGTTCCATCCAATCCTGCTATAGACATTGCGGATGAACGTCCACCAGAAAGTTTTGTTGGGGAAGAAATATCTAACAAGCGATTAGAAGAATTCACGGTTAACGACGTTCATCAAGCAATGGTATTTGCCAAAAGATGCTATTGTACTGGATGCAGAACCGTGTAGAGATAATGTACAAGGTTCTAATAGCGAGTTAGCAAACATGGACTTAAAGAGGTGAGAGAATGCAATATATGTTGGGAGAGTCTTTAAAAGCAAGTTGGAACTTCGAAATGCTTTGTCGTTGTATGCCATGAAGAGGATATTTCACTATAGGTTGGGGAGTTCTGACAAGACAAAAGTCATAGCAAATTGTGTGGACAAGAATTGTAAGTGGAGAGTTTTTGCGAAGAACCACAAAGATTCGAAGAATGTTGAAATTAAAAAGGTTGAGCTGAAGCATAGTATGTGTCATGTAGGTCCCAGTAAAACCAGAAATGGTTTTAGCGGAGTTCAATGTGACCGTCTCCTATATTAAATATTGGAATTCAAAGGAGTTGGCAATTTGTGAGGGACGAGGAAGTGAGGAAGGTAGTTACATGCACTTGTCCACTTATTACATCTTTTGAAGAGAACAAATCTGGGGACAATTACGGATGTCGACACTGAGAAAAATCAAGAAAGGAGAGCATCTATTCAACTATCTATTCTTTGCTAGATACCCATGCCTAAGGAAAGTTTTGTCATAGATGGGATCCAGATGAAGGGGAGATACTGATATATTGTGTTTTTATCGGTTTTAAGTCTTTCTTTTCTATTTCATTTTATAATTTTAATTGAGTCAAAGTGTGTTTTTAGATTCTTTTAGTCCATTATAGAGTCTTTACAGGTTTTAGGTTGCTTTGGATTAAAATAAGCTGTTTTGGGATGCAAACACACATTTGGAGACGCAGATTCATGTACAAGTGTCAGATGTTTGGGAACATATGGACGACTTTCCAACGTTAGATCTTTCTCATATTTTGACACAAGATGAAGAAAGATGTTAGCTTTCTTTTGCATGTGACTTCAAGGACTACTAACGGTGCATTCAAGAGTTACACCCGATTTTGTGAAGACATGTCATTCTGACGAGTTGTTGAAGCTGATGTATAATTGAAACCTGAGAGTGCCAGACCGATCGGTCCACACCCGGGACTGATCAATCCCTTACCTCTGACGCATATTTTCACCCATATTCGATCCGAAATAGACCCAAATCGTCTCCTATTGTTTTTATACCCTCGGCTCGCCTTTTTAGCAGCCATCCTTCATATTTTTTAGTTCTAGACATTGTCCTTTTCTTTCTAAACAAATTTGGGGAGAAGAATCCATCCTCTTGACACTTGGAGAAGATTTCTAAACCCTTTCTTATTGTATCTGGAATTTCAACATGTTTTCTTGAATGTCTATTTTCTTTTTTTTTTCCAATTGCTATGTCTAAGTAGTCTCTTAATTAGGTTTTAGGGTTCTTAGTAGGAGATTAAATGATTTGATGGATTAGATGTCTTAGGGAATTCTTAATCTTTGAGTTCTTCAATTTACATGTTCTCAATGCTAGAATATGATTGATCACCCTGTTTTAGAACTTAGGCTTTTATTTTTTTTCAGAGATGTTCGATAAAATGTCTGGATGAATGTAAATTGAGCATTGTATTTCTAACCTGCGAGAGTTGATGTTAGAATGTCTTGTGAACCAAATGAACATGTTTGATAATGCGAATTTGTCTAGGAAATTACAAATGAGAGTTTAGTAATTGAATAGGTTAATTTAGTGATTAATGTATTGAGAGAGAATTAGTCTAAACTTGTGTTCATGTTTAAGAACGGTTCTTCATGCTTGAACTCCTTATTGCTTTTATTCGTTATTCATTGATTCTCTGAAAATATCCTGCTGCCCAATGTCTTTAATTTATAAGTTTATTTTCTTTTATTTGCATTTTTATTTACAATTATGAAAAACCAAACAACAAATCTTTTCCACTGTAGCTAAGAACGAGTCTCGCAAGTCTTTAGTGTAACCTTGCTCCATGTGATCGATCCCGCATATACTTTACTTCGGTTAAGTTACCGTATTAAATACTCAAGAAATCTGATACCAAGGATGTTTAGTTGTTGCTAGTGGACAAGATGGAAATATACATGTATATCCATTAGCGTTTGGGGGTTGTGGACAACGAGAATGTCAATAGTTGGATTTGATTTCTTTAGAAACTGTGTGAAATTGTTAAAAACGAGGAAGATCTTGTGTTTGTGTGAGATAGACATGCTGCAATAAACGCATGGCTTACGAAGGTTTATCCATTGGCTCACAATGGGGCATGTGCGAGACATTTGCATAGAAACGTTAAATCTAATTTTCACTGTGAAGGGCTTGCATGCATGGTTTCTAATACAGGAAGGGCGTTTACTGAACGTGACTTCAAGTTATGGTTTTAAGAAGTTGAAACTCGTAAACCAGAATTTGTTAAATATCATGACGATATTGGTCTACCACATTGGACGCTTTTCCACTATTCGAAAAGAAGATATAATCTAATGAGCAACAATATTTCGGAGTCCTTGAACGCTGCAATGGTTAAAGCAGTGGATTATTAGTAGCTATGGTGGAGTTTATAAGGGCAATGTTGATGTGACGGTTCTATTTGCGTAGGAAACATTCTGGGAAAACACAAACAAGGTGTAGGCCAGAGGTGGAACAAATTTTAATCGATAATCTCGAAGATTCAGTTGATTATGCTATGTTGTCTATTAGTGACTAGGTTTATCAAGTGAATGATGGTATGAGATTTTTTTTGAAGTGGACCTAGAGAAGAAAACATGTAGTTGTAGGGCGTTTGATGTGTTGATAATTCCATGTTGCCACACTTTAACTGATGTGGACGTTAGTAAGATCGATCATTATTCACTTTGGGGTGGTTTTACTTTGTTGATTCTTGGAGGAATACATAGAGTTAAAAAGCATAATGTTTGGTATGGAAATAAAAATATCATCAAGTCCATACACATATTAAACTTGGCAATATACATTAGAGAAACACAATTGAAAATGTTGGCCATGGACATGAACATAAGAGTTTCTCTTCCACATATTGAGATAGACTTACGGTTGCGTATCTACGGACAGTTGTCAAGGGATATCGAATAATTCCCTGAACCTCTGGCAACGCCAAAATGTGTAGCAAGGGGCATCTCTTGAGTTCGGTGCAATCCTCGCA